TCATGTTATCACTCGGGACCTACATGGTTGCCTATATGTGTAAGTGTAAGCATAAAAAAAAAAATTCGTTCCAAATAGCTTGAAGAATAAATATCTTTTGAGTCCTGAACAAAAATCATGGAGCCCATTTTAATCCAAGAAAAAAAATTGACTTTTGGTTCATCTGAAATTCAAAATATACGCAGTTAATTAAAATTGTAGTCCTTTTGAAATTCAAAGAAGACCCACGTTAGTCCCTCAAAAGGACTAACGTAGGTCTATTTTAAATTTCAGAGGAATCAAGAGTTGACTTTTTTTTCTAACAGATTAAATTAGGTCCCGTAATATTTGTTAAGGACCCAAAAATACTTTACTCTAGCTTAAAATAACATTTACAAAAAATGAGATATACGCGAAATAACAAAGCTTGATATATGTGAGTAATTTTCTTTTCTCTTCTTGTTTATATATATATATATTTTTTTTTTTTATTTTTTTATTCTTTTAAAAATTTCTTTAGACTTTTTTTTCGAGGGCGCTGCCTTTAGACTCCAGTCACTAAATATATAGACATAGATAAAAAAATTTGAGTTCGTCACTCGTTATGTTGATGCTTGAAGAGTGGTATAACATTCTCTCACGTCCACTGATGTTTTTTCTCAGGTTTGTGGGGTTGTACGTTTTGGGTTTGGTGATGTTTGGGCTTGGTGCGAAATCCAACTTCATCGTATTGGAAAGAAAGCTTTCCTAGTTCAACCCAATGATGTAGTCAGCCCAAAGCAAGCTTTTATTGGACAAAGATGTATTAATTTACAATAGATTGGTTTTTGCTCATCAAAGAAGAAAATATCGTGCCGACGAGGCTTGACGTCAATGCTATACGGCACTGTTTTGTTGAGATTAAATTAATTTGACAATATATAGTATCAAATTGCAAAAGCAATTTTTTTTTTTTTTTTTGGGATAAAAAGGAAGATAAAAACAAGAAAACAACTAACTAATACCCAGCCTGGGAGAGGTAACTCCCAGTTGGTCTCTTAACAGTAAGCTAAAGCAATTTAAAGGAGGCGGACCTCAAGGTCTCAACCCTGATTTGAAGACAGTGGCGAAGCTGGCTCAAAAAATTAGGTGGTGCCAAAAAATTTGACATATTAAATTATCAAAATATTTATCGTAATTACACAAATTTATCAGGAAAAAAATTTACTATGAATTCTAACATAGTTATCTAAATTATGTACTAAATAATGTCACATAATATTGAAAATTCAAATGAACAATTGTCGTTGATTATATATCAAAGCAAATATATAAAAATGCACTAACATTTTCGGTAAACATTTCAAACATAAAAATTTCACTTTCCTCCCACAACATAATAAGTAATAAACCAAATATTATCCTAAGGATATGAAAACACACAAATATAATAATTATATGTATAATAAGCATTGTCCTTCGTCTCCTCTTTCATTATCTCTATTTCTTAAAGTTTCAATATCTCACGTTAGAGAACATCGTCCTTGTTTGCAACAGCCATAAGCACAATGGAAAGTTCTCACATTTGGGAATTAGGTTTTTAACTATTCTTTGTGTGTGCAATAACCCAAAACAAAATAGTTCAATGGACCTTCATATTCCATAATTATAGTCCTATTATTCATTTGGTTTCGTGATTGTTACTTTCAATGGTTAAGTGTTTGTCCTTTTAAATGACACAAATTGTATCCTTTTAGTTTTTAACACTATGTCTTACTGGTAAGACATAGTTATAACATGAAAAAAAAATTCTCTCCACGTTAGCTGAAGTGACTGAGGAAATAGAAAAAAGTAATTTTTCATGTTATAACTATATTTTACCGGTGAGATATAGTGTCAAAAGTTAAAAGGATACAACCTTGTGTCCTTTAAAAGGACAAAACTTTTTTTCTACTTTTAAATGAGTTTATTTGGTTTAGTTAGACCCAAATTTTGACATAGGTCAACTATTCATTTTTGTGATTAAGTTTAGAAGTCTCTTTTTTTTTAAATAATAGGAGTAAAAATAACTAACATAACTGATTAGAATAAAGCAAAACAAAAAATATATATACAGGATAAAAAAAAGGTAAAACACAAAAATAATCATATTATACATCCTTATTATTTGTTTGCATTTACATGGTTTGTTGTTACTTTGTATTGAGTATTTGATTTTCTATTTAGATGGTGTCAAATTATAATTTTTATCTTAGTTAATTATAACTAATTACATAATATATATAATAAGTAAAAAGAAAAAACAAGCAGGTGCCAAGGCACCTGCTGGCCTTCATGTGGCTACGCCACTGTTTGAAGAGGAAGAAGCTAACCAATCAGCAACGGAATTCCCTTCTCTATGAATATGAGCTAGTTCCACCATCCAATCTCTGTTTATGAGCGATTGGATCCTTAAGACAAGAGACCGACACAACTGGTTATTCATACAACCATTCTTTGCTAGATCTATGGCAGTAGTCGAGTCACTGTCAAGGCAAGCCCCTGTCCCAAGCAAGTCTTAGGCCTTTGAGGATCCTAATCAACTCGGATGAGAGAGGACTCCTATGCCCGTGTTTTTCCTGAATCCTACTAACCAATTACCTTCAGAATCTCGTATTGTCCTCTTAGAGAGGGAGCAAGAGGTCGGGATAAAAAAGTAATTTTAAATCTCTACTATGTTGGAATATTATCTTGTATCATTTAACTACATCCAGAGTTTTGGTTTAGATAAAAAAATATTACCAATATCTAATTATCATAATATATATCTCATTTATATTAATACAAAACTTTCAAAAGTAATTGAAATATAAAAAATAAAAATATCCAATAAATTTATAATATAATCTATACATATTGGATACCAAAACAATAGTTTTTATCTGGATCCAAATATTAGAAGAGCCACATAGGCCCACCAAAACAATAGCCTAGCAGAGGTTAAGAGTCCAAAATGAAATATTAACTAAGTAAGAAAATGCATAAAAACACGTACACTCAATCCAGTAGGATTATTAGCAGCACTTAATCTAAAATCTTAAGGTGTTGGGTTAAAGTCTTTTTAATAATTTATATTGTTTTAACACATTCCTTCACACAAAAACCCTTTAGGCTTAAAGGGTGGATATATATTCTCAATTTTTTTGTTTACCTTATACTTATTTAATTTCACAAGTGGAGGGCAGTAAGGATCGAACTCGGGACTTTGTGATCACTGAACTCTAATATCATGTAAAAAATTACTTCAACCAAAATCTTAAGATGTTGAATGAGAGTCTTTTTAATGATTTATATTGTTCTCTAACATTATCAATTATACCACCACACAAAGGCGGTCAGTTGAGTCAAGTCGTACCACATTTATAAATAGAGAGAAAAAGATATAAGTCTTCTATTATAAAAAAGCTCATTATTCAAACACTGACTCCGGCGTATAAGTGTCTTATAGGTACTCTACCCTCTTGTAGTCTTGTTCTATCAAGATATTTTCCTACGACATTAAAGATCAAATCCCGCACAATAAAGTAGTGATCTCGTTGATATCCAGTCACCACATTAAATAACACTTTGTGCTCGGATCAAATTCTTTTGAAGTATTGGTGCTTCCAAGGTCTTAACCCATTTTCCCCTTTTTAGGTTGCGTAAACATTCCAAATTGCTTTATCCATAAAATTATCAAGTTGTAAAACCCTATAGTTTTAGGTTTCAGCAAGGCTAGAAAAATTTTTGTGATCCATATACCTAGTTTTTTTTTTTTTTTTTTTAATTATTTTCCATAGCTAATGAAATTCATCCTGTGTATGACGATTACTCAAGCACACGCGTACCAATATGTAGTAAAGTACATACCTAACTACATCAGAATGATTATTGATTATGAATCTGATTGTTCTAGCTGTCTTTACATCATTTTCTTCATTGACGTTGCCACTCACAGAACAGCCATCACTTCCAAAGCATTACCAATAATTATATATCATGGTATATACGCGATTAATCCATCAATCAAACAGTGTAGCAGGGGTCTAACTAAGCAACTTGCTTAGTTTAAACGTTCAAAGTCTTATCTAACATAACATAATAACAATGACATAAGAAACACAACGCATGGGGTCGGATTAGGTGGTGAAAATTTTCCTCTTAAATTTTTAATAAGGAGAATATGTAGGAAAACAAACCTAACCACGTCTTGATTTTCTTTGTTGTATACTTTGATAACCATGACAAACTTGACCTCAACCAATCGGATTATTCAAGATTTCAAGTACCTTTGACAAGGAAAACTCTATAAAGGTACGGGTAGAGTTTAATTACAAGTTCAGTGGTGCATGGAAATGTGTTAGACATCAGCAGCAATGCGAGACGGAAATTTCAGGAGTCATTTTTTAAGGCTTAAGAGTCAACCTCTAGGTGGAAAAGGAATCAAATTTAACTAATCATGATGGAAATTAAGGAAACGCATTTGCCTTTAGCGAGTAATATATGATATCCTAATCCTATAACTTTAAGCACTAAGGTTAATTTACATTAACCAAACGTATTTTCATTTTTTTTTTTTTGAGATATTCCAATCGATTCATCGCTTCACGACTAGTCGAATTCGGAACGGATCCCGGGATAAGGTTTTAAATCCCTCCCAAAAACATATTTTCATTCTGAAATGGCACTTGATTACTTTATGACTTTATCCGAGTCAACAGTGTTATTCAACTAAATACTTCGACATACAGTAAATTAACAAACAAAACGGATAATTGAAGAAAAGAACATTTATGTATATCTGTTGAAGGAAATGTACCGACACTCAAACTAATTTTATGAAGCTGTGCCAAAAGTATGTTCAAAAACATGTATTGGCATATAAGTACGTATATTATGTAAATAGAGATATATCTTTTATATTTATACATACTATAATATACGCATGAATTTAGTGGCAGGAAACAAACAATAATCTGATGAAAGCATAAAACTGCATAATACAACCTCTCCCAAATTAAATATTACGATAGCTCATGCATAATGGGATCCTCAAAAAATAGTTCAGGCCAATAAGAAGAGGTTCCTCCATGGCTAGAAGTGCTACTGCTGGCATCTCCTGGATTGCTAGTTGAGGTCCCTGTCACATTTAGGGGAATAGATGGAGCAGGAGATGATGTTATTATCCAGGGAGAGCCATCAACTGTGTGGTCCCCTTGACCTATCATTTCAAAGTCAGTAGTACCTTGACCCTGCTCACTATTCAAACCAGATTGGGAGCTGAAAGAGACTTTTGGGTCTAGAAAGTGAGATAACATGCTTGAGTGGGGGAGCAGTTGGGAGCTAGAAATCCCATTAGAAAATGAGGCTGGACTATTCAGTTGTGGACAGTCCATAATTACTAGGTTGTCTTTGACATTAGTACTTGAATTTAACAAATTGAAAGCTTCCATGTTTGTGATGGCATTTTGGTCATAATAGTTGGTGTCTAAGGAATTTGTAGATTGGAGTAAATAGTGAAGATTTTGAAGCTTTGCTAGCTGAACGGCCTCTGCATGTAACCTGAAAGCCTGTTCATCCAAAGATTGATGATCCATAAGGTCTGTCATGTTGGCCAAAGCTAGCAGATATGGCAAGCTGGAAAATAGATCAGTTCTTGGCTGGTGTGTCATTGGATCAAAACCCATCTGAATCAGTTTTTTCTTTAAGTGAGTATTCCAGAAATTCTTGATCTCATTATCGGTCCTGCCAGGAAGGTGGGTTGCAATTGCTGACCATCTACCAATTTTAAAACAAAGATTGGAAACAAAAAGTCAGAAAAGACTTAAAGTGCTTCAATCAATATTAAGCATAATGAAAACTTCTCTATATCTCTCCCCAAAAAACCAAAGAAGGAAGTCATAATCGTTCAAAGAATAAAAACTGCATCCCGTTAAACCCGACTAACGAGTATGGAGTGGAGGAAATCCTTGTACGCAACTTTACCCTTACATAATTGCAAAGATGCTATTTTCTGGATTCGAATCCGTGACCTTTCAATCATGAAGGAACAGACTGTTCCAGTTCGCTCCTTTTATAATCGTTCAAAGAATAATGAAGTTTATTAATACTTTAGTTTGTGTGAGCAATTGCAAGGTAAAAAATATTATAACCTCTCGATCCCTTTGCCTCTCTAACCAAAGAAAAAGGAGAAAGATGAAAAAGTACTTGTTTCCAAGAATGGAATGGAGATGCAGAATTGTCTGCTCCTCTTCTTGAGAAAATTTCCCCCTCTTGATGTCAGGTCTTAAATAGTTGGTCCACCTTAGCCTACAGCTTTTTCCACATCTATTAAGACCTGTGAAATTTTCAAGCAAATAAATGAATGAGGAAACACTGAACTTTGCTGCAGTATATACAGAACTATATATATATATAGAAAGACCTGCTAACTTAGGGAGAGCTCTCCAACTTCCATGGCCGTGTTTCTGAATGTAATCAACTAGCTTTTGATCTTCTTCAGGAGTCCAGGGTCCCTTCTTAAGGCCATTTTCATCGCAGCATGGAAACCTTCCCATTGTGTGATGAGATCAAAGGCAATTATTCTTCTGAATCTTTCCCTTCCTCTGCTCTACCGCCAAATTAAACAATGGGGTGGGGTTTACTATTTATATCCATTATTCTTGCCTACTTCTTGTCGTTGTTTGTCATGGATTGCTGGATTAGAAAATTGTTTTCGCAATCTTTATTCGGCTGATTAAAGATTTGGACACTTCCGGTTAAAGTAGAAAAAAACAAAATTAATATTCATGCCTTGACAAGTAGACCCTTCAAATTATTATTGAAAAAAACTCACAACATTTTAATTACTTAGAAGTTCAAAAAAATATTTATACAGTTAATGCAGATAAGTTATATGCATTTACTTTCAAAATAACATCGTTTTGGGATTGAAAGATTAGAAAATTATAATTATAAAGACTATAATAATCTTGAAACAAATTAAAATCACAAAAACATATTGATTTTCACCCCAAAACGACATCGTATTGGAGAGAGATAGAAATTTTTTGGGTTGCTCTATCACTTTAACCATATTTTTAATTCTGTAAGTTCTCAATGTCTCATGTTCTAGTTAAATTTTTGGTGTTATGTTTACCAAAAAATAAAATAAAATTTTTTGGTGTTATAAAGGTGGCAGCCCTTACTCTAAGAGCATTTAAGAATTTTTTGAGAGGTTAATTACATAACTAGTTTCTTTTAAATTTTGGTAGGTTCTCCCAATTTAACTATATTTTTAACTAGTTGAGTAACCTTCATACTTAACTACATTTTTAATATTAAGACCTATTCTAATAGCACTTAAAAATTTCTAAGAAACTAATTACACAACAAGCTCCATCCGAATAATGTTGGTATTTTTTTATTTTATTTTGGTAAATGACTATAATGTTGGTATTTCTATCTGTATTAAATGCATCTCTAGCCAATTTAATAATATTCTAATTTTACTTACCGCATTAATAAAAATGTACTATTCACTGCCATAGAAGAGACAGATCATGGAGGTGCCCTCACGCCCTCCACGATGGAAGAACATTTAAAATTAAGTGTTTAACATGAAACAGCTTAAACTTCTAAATAATTTTGTTCGGTCTTTTATATTAAAATTCCAATTCAATCTTAATTTTATAATATAAATAAGTATTGTACTTAACTTCAGTAAAAATACAATACATTTAATTATCAAAATAATATAATATTTAAACGACTTTTTACAGTAGTACCGACTCCCTCACTAAGTAATTTCTGGATTCACCCTTTCTTACTAATTGCATACTTAAGTGGCTCCCATCTCAGAAAAATTCGAAAATTAAATGAAAAGTTTGATATACACGAAATCAGGTCAATTTGGTAATTGTGGGCCAAACAATTTATATAGTTTCAAACAATATGGTATTAAAATATCGTCAATAGGACGAAACTTTCAAATCAAATAGTTAGCGTACATGTGTCGAATAAAATCTCAGAGGAACCCCTCCCATGCACGCAAAGAGGAGGCCATGTCCCTCTTTCGTCATGGTTTGCATGGCTTTAAATGATTCACGTCCTCTCTTCTTGGATTTCATGCGGCCTAAGCCCCATAGCGAATCATTCACTGAACAAAACCATGAAATTTAATCTCACAATTATTATTGTCACTTAAACTATGTACTGTACATATATACCTACGATAAAATAAGTCGTTTACGATACCTCTTTATATGAATAAGACAATTATAGGCATAGCTAGAAGATTTTGTTTCAGGAGAGTCAAAACGAAAAAACACTTAATTTATTTGAGAGACCAAATGCTTTTTATTTTTTAGATAATTAATTACTTTTGCAGCACATTACCTGCCGCGAACCACAGATTATTTCTAAGTGGCTCTTTTTATTATAGCTCAATTGTCTTAACCAATATTTATAAATTATAACTTTTAATTTTTTTTTTTAAATTTCTTAACGGGTTCATTGGTTACCCGATTTACTTCGGTTCAAGCATGTTTGGATTTATATAAGAAGGAATGTCATTTTCTCCATTCTTAAGATTTGAACTCCAAACCTTTAATTAAGGAAAACACAAACTTCATATAACTTAAATTAATGGTGGTTGATTGTTAATTTAGAGTTATGAGGAGGTGAATCCATAATGCTTAATTATGTGCAACTATCATTATTCAACCTGCAATCAAACACACCAAATACCAAATATGCATGTGCGTTCAAGGCCAAGTTGGCACGTAAAATATACACACATACTGTACAACTTTATCTGAATATCTAAACAGGTAAACGAAAACTAATCTATCCAAGTCGTTGAAAATAGATGTAGCTATGTAGTTAAACAAACTGTAACAGTGAAAAGCATCTAGGTTAAAAAGTGGGGACAAACCCAAGGTAGTAGTAGACTAGAGATATAGTTCATTGTCTGAAAAGGACGTAAATGATGTGACTCATTTGACTCGGAGGGTGGTGCAGTTAGAGACGTGGAGGAGAAATTGGTGCAGCAAACGCTCAAATCTTCATCAATTTTTTTGTAACCCCAAAGTCATTCTTTGCACGGTTGATAAGCCTTCAATGTCATATGTTGGTGGATTAATGTCCTCATGCACCTTGTTGTGTTGCAAAATTTCGTACTCATACTGTCCTCCTGCATCTTAAATTAATGAAGTGCATGGAATACAAAGTAAAAGGTTATTGCTTTGTACAAAAGTAAGTGATTCGAAAAATTTGCAATCCAATATCACAATGTATAAGCCTTCAAATATGTTTAGACCTTTGTAGTTGGTTATTGGCGATTGAGAATACCCAACGATTCCTAAAGCCATGAAAATAGAAATTATAGTATAATCTAGAAATTATATTGACAAGTATCTAAGTCTTATCGGTTAAAGAAGATTTTATATTATGTCAAGAAGTCAGAAACTAATCATAATATAATTCCAAGACCTCGCGAACTTTAAGACATGGATCCATGCTTTTGTCCATTGCTCCCTACAAAAATTGTGCCCTTCTTGCTTCCTACGTAAGTTAGACATTTTCAAACCTAAATCTTAATTATTTAATCAACTTATTAAGTGTCAACATCTATATGGAACAGCAAAAGGAGTTAATTAGAGAGAGACCATTTTTTCTTCATCTTTAACAAATATTTCTTATTCATGTATTGCAAAATTTCATTGCCTTTACCCCTCCTAGTTGTATTTTGTTAGTAAACGGTTCACACACACAAAGACTTTATATCCTTCAGCCAAGTTATCTTGTCGGGACGATTGTGTGTTACTATGAGACAAAGGATTCAGTGATGCAAGATCAACTTTATAATTTCAATATAATATCATCTTTGAATTCAGCGTGTCCGCTAAACAACTGATTTGCTTGCTGTAATGGGTTTCTAACCAATACATCTTTTAAAACAGACTTCGAGGCCACCTACTTAATGGATACTACCTCAATGTTCTTATATACATGTGTCTAATCTTCGTCCCCTAAATATATAGGCCTCTGTTGCCTTGCTTTAAGGACAATCTTCCAGCACTACAGAATTCAAATTCTTTCCTCTTCCTTCTAAATACCTTACAAAAGGCTACCTCGTTGGGTTAATCTGGACAGCACTTGGCACCTTAGGTACTAATGCAACTCCTCCCAAATATCCCCAATTCTTGTACTGCGACAAAGAGTACACCACCCGCCTAATAACCCGAATTCTAGACCTAACAAGTAACAATATTTAGCCAATAAGAAAATTTGGAAGCATGACACATATATATCATTCTCCTTTTACCCCAAAACATCATTATTTTGGGGTTGGGAGATAATATATATATATATATAAGGATAAATATTTCTACAGCCACTTTAGATAAGGTTATCTACACTTATTCTTTTCTAACTAAGTATGACCGGTCATACATAAAAATTACATTTTCTCTCTATGCCACGTCAGCCGACAGTGTCTGAGGAAAAAAAAAAACAGCTTTATTGTTATAGTTATAACTAAGTATGACCGATCATACTTAGTTAAAAAGGGTAGCGGTAGATAACCTTATATAAAGTGGTTGTAAAAATATTTTTTCCATATATATATGAGTTAATGTTTCTCATATTATATGAGATAATTTTATCTCGTACACACACGTAAAAGTGTGTGGGCCATGTGAGAAAAAAAGAGAAAAAGAAATCATGAAAGTCCTTTATATACGAGTTTAATGTTTATCAGGTTGTTGTAGGAGATAAAATTATCTTCTATATATATATAGGGTTTAGTGTGTATCATTCAAAAGGACACAAGTTGTGTCCTTTTAGTGATTTACACAGAGTACGACCAGTCCTACTCTGTGTAATTCTGAAAAGTTACTTTTTTTTTACTTTACACGTCAGCGATGTGACTGGGGAGAGAGAAAAAAAAGTAACTTTTCAGTTTTACACAAAGTACGACTGGTCGTACTTTGTGTAAAACACCTAAAATGACACAAGCTTGTGTCAATCAAAAGGACACTTCTTTTTCCCATATATATAAAAGTATATAGGACCCATGTGAGAAGAAGAGAAAGAAAATATGGGGTACACATTTTTATATGTGTATGCTAGATAAATTTCTCTATGAGAAATAATAAACCCTTTATATATATATATATATATATATATATATATATATATATATATATATATATATATATATATATATTAAATTGAGATTGATATCTGCAAAATAAATATTCAACGGGTGAGGAAGTGAAGATTACTAGTTTACATTTAACATTATTCGTTTACTTTTTTTTTTCGCATACGTTCATGAATGTGTGAGTAATACTATATATATATATATATATATATATATATATATATATATATATATATATATATATATATGAAAAAAATATTTATACTTATAAATGATATAACCTTATGTCATTTTAGATCCTAACCGTTGATTTTCGTCAATCAACGGTTATAATTTATTGGATTAAAATTATAATTGTTGATTGAGAAAAATCAACGGTTAGGATCTAAAATAACATAAGGTTTATATCCT